ATTTTTCCCATTGTTGAAGGATAAATAGCTTCCCAACTTACAACTTAAATCAATCTAATAAATCCACTGCTTTTTTCTTTTATTATCCTTCAACAACGGGGGAAAAAAAATAGAACAAAAAAAACCACGGTTCTAGAGTTTAGGGAAAGGTCAAAAAAAGGGGAAAATTTTATATCATTAAAAAGACTAACGTGGAATAAGGAGGTGATAAGAGACCAAGGGACATACGATGGATTTATTTTGTAAAAATGAAGATATCATTCATGTTGAGAATACGACCCAACATTTGTACAACAAGCCATTCATATATTCATAGTCCAAACGTAACCTTGACTATGACCACACTCACTTAGCTATACCCACGCGGGTGTTGACAAGTGAATTAACCGGGTATTTAAACATGGACCTTATGTCATTATCTTATCTGGAGTTATAAATACTTTTATTTATTTTTATTAAAGGTGTTAATTTCATTATGTTTTTTTGTTTAATGTTTTTATTTTTGAGAGTTTATTTCTTTAAGAGTAAAATATTATTAACTTAAGCATTGAAATGTTTTACTCAAAAAAATATTTTCAGATTTTTCAAGTGTTGAAACAATAGATTCACTAAATTTTATTAGAAATCATGATTTTCAAAACACATTTATTTTGATTTTAAGTGTTAGTTTTTGTGAGTCATTTTAAGAATCATTCTTTTATTAAATATAATTTTGATTGAAAAAGATAATTCTGTACTAAATTAATAAAATAAATAAATTTAATTTTTAAAATACATACAAATTAATTCAAACACTTATTAAAAAAATACAACATAAAGAAGGCAAGATTGCATTCAACACTCGCTGCTTTCCTTGAGGATCCCATTCCCCGTAATGTCCCCAGAAAGGCAGAAACCCGCTTTATCGGACGTTGATACCCTCCTCAACCTCGAACTGTGCGGTGGCACGCGCATCTCTGTGCTCAAATTGAACGGGGCCCCTTTTGTACTTACCTATCTCTCAGCTTGACAAACACCTAGCGTGTTTCTTGCTTCCCCGTGGTCCGTGGAATTAAATATTATTTGGGTGCTTCTTTCTGAGCAATGAAGTTGTATTGCTATGATGAATTCGGGTATACTTAAGGACTTGAACCTAGCAATAAAGAAAAATGTGAAGTAGGTGGAGCAATCCAAGATGGGTCATCGTCACATTTCGTTGTATGCTTTTTTAAGCCCCATTAGGTTCTTGTTGAAATTTTTTTCCCCTTGAAATAATTGGCCTCATATTGTTTTTTCAATTTTAGGAATCAGTGTTGAAAGTTCTACTAAAAAAGCATTAGAAAATCCCTTGTTTTTTGAAACTAAGTTTTATGTTGAATTCACAGGAATGAGAAAAGGCAAATACTTGTGTAAAGAATCCCATATTTCACTTAGTATTGAATTCTTACTTGACTCTTTTGACTTTTAAAATGAAAGTGATTTCAGTCTACCTGTTCCTTTACCATCGTTCTCGTTTAATAGCGCTGAAATGTAGTAGTGAACTTTTTTCTGTTTGCAGGAAGCATGTACGGGGAATTTCTGCCTTGCATACTATGACGAGCAACTGCTGGATGACATGTCCGCGCTTCAAGATGCTCGTGCTTATAGTGTTTATGTTTCAAAGCTTTATTTGATTGGAAAACTTGCATTGAAGCTCTCCTTGAACTCAGATATTGACGGTTAATTAACACTAGGAAGCCATCAGAGGGAAGGAATTTAATGGAAATTAGGTTCTCATTTTCAATTATTGGTGGTGATTTGTAGCTTCAAATCACATGTATTCATTCTCTGATCAGAAACCAGTTTTCTCATTCATCAGAAGCTCTGTATGATTCATCTTTCTTTCTTTCTTTTTTCTTATGCGATATATTTGTTGTCTAATTGTGAATATGAGTTATGGACCTTATGGTCTATAAATGCAGTGTCTACACCATGTCAAATATCAAAGGGTTCCAGGATACATTCTAGGAGGAGAAAACACCGTTTCTTCCTTGGCCTTAACAAGGGTCAATCACGGGCCTCAATCTTATGGCTGGATAAAGATTATCTCCATCATTATCTTTGCACATAAACGTGTAAGAGTTTCTATTATAAGCCATATCAGATACTCAAAATTGTATATGCTGTCATTCTGCTGCACAATTTCTGTTGTTTGTGGGGAAGTTTTGCTTGAATATAGACATACCTAGAAAGTATCTACTCGTTGCTGAATATAATGCTATGTGAAATTTTTCTATTTCTTAATTTTTCCAAATATGTTGCTCGATTCTCATTCATTACCATGTTATATGAAATCTGAGGAGATTTTCATTGGTATCATAGAATTTTATCAAATGGTTGGCTATGAATCTTGAACTTCCCTCACCAAACAGATGAGAGTAGTTGAAAAGATTTTGAGTAGACAGTATTATCTCCTGAGAGTCTAGTTCTGAAAAAGCATATAATGATAGTCAGAATTTGGAATTGCGGAACAAAAGATCAAATAATTCTTGTGTTGTTCTTTTTTTTTTTTTATCAGCCAATAAAATAGTTATTATATATAATAATAAAAGAAGTGTAAGGGGTAATCTAACCCATTACATCATCTTATGCCAAAATCTTAGAATACATAACAATCTCAATCCCAGCACAGTTTACATTCCTATCTCAATTCTTGTATTACTCTATTATTGGGTCCCGAAGATAATATCAGAATTAGATAATTGCTGGAATATGCCATCCCTTATTTACATTGTACTAGGAAGCCCATTTTCCTTCCATGCAGAATAGCCACCAGCAACATCAATGACATCGGTATACCCCTGCAGAAGCAGCACAGAGATTGAATTGTGTTCTCTGGAAAGCAAGTTCGTCACAAAGGTTTGAAGCTAAATACACATTAAGAATATATAGCTTAATTTCATATTTTGTTGGATATGGTAGTAACTCACAGCAGACTGAAGATCAGCAGCAGCCATTAGTGACCTCTTTCCACTCTGGCATCCCTGAAGAAGCAATAAATGTTGAGTCAGCACGGCAAAAGGCTATGGAATTAATGTTGATTAAGGACAAGGACATACTATGAGGATCTTGTTGTCTTTCTCAAAACGCGATGATACTTCCTCCAAAAATTTAGCATTCTTTGTTCTCCCTTCAAAGACATGGAAGAGAATTTGTATTGATTTCTACATCTCAAATGAATGATTAGGTGGATTAATTTTTATTTGAATGAGATTACGAGTTTAATCTGCAAAAGAAATCATATTAGTGTTCATTTTGTTTACCTGCTTCAGTTCTAAACATGTAGGGAACGTTAATAGCCCCAGAAGGATGTCCAGCTCTGAACTCATCAGAAGTCCTTAATTTGATGAAAGAGAAAAAATAATAAAGATAATGCAAGAATCTAATATAAAATGATAAAAATAACAAAAGGGAAAAACTAAAAATGAAAGCCAAACAGAACTTCAGCAACCATCTTTGGGCATAAAATCATCCACTATGACAATTTTCCATGAGAAAATGATTTTTACTCTATTTTGGTTCTGTGGGGGAGATTACTAGGAGATAAGTTTTGGTAAATTCAATACTTCACACAAATGGTTTATATTTAATTGAAAAGGTGCTACAAACACAGGAGAAGGGGGGAAAAAAATCAATTTAGTAAATCTTAACTGAGGTCAAAGTTTTGCAGTTTGGACTGAATGATACTGAACAACATTAAACATTAGATGGGAAACCTGTCCCTACATTGAAAGAGACCCCTTTTGTATGTGTTGTGTAGTTTAGACTACAGAAGACTTTTCAGTTTCTGTTACCTGACATCCAAATAGTGATGTCCAGCTTGAAGAAACTGGTATGCTGCATGGACTGTTACCGATCTCGGTTTTACCTCATTGATTTCATCTTTTCTTTCGACATTAGAAACGGACCTGCAAAAGACAATAAATATCGAATCAATCCGAACGTCTTAAGATCAACACCATGCAAAAAGAGTGATGAAGCGGTACCCAAATCTTAAAATGCTGCCGCTTAGGCCATGGTAGCGGATTGGGGGGCGAAGGAGGAGACGCAAAACGGAGTGAGCAATGCGAGGAGAGGAAGCGAAAGTAGTCATCTGTGTTTTGTGAGATACATGTGATCGGCTGTGATGCGATCTGGGCCTTCATATATGGAATTCTGGCTTGCGGTGGCCAATTTAAAAAAAAACCCCAAATTTATCTCAAAATAACATTTAATCCCCTAAATTAAAAACAAAGCAAATAAGCCCCCCAACGAACTTCACTACGATGCAAATAAACCCTTTTCATAAACGAGCAAAATAGTATTTCATGTTTAATATGACATTGAAAACATGAACACCCATAAATGAAAAGAGTTTATTTGCGTTATGAGTGGAGTTAGAGGATTTATTTGCTTTGTTTTTAGTTTAGGGGCTTAAGTGTTATTTTGGGGTAAGTTTGGAGGCTTCAAAAGGTTTTTTTCCATTTTTAAATGGTAAGAGGAATAACTAACTTAGCTGTCTGATTGGTGATACAGCTTAATTACACTCAATTTAATCAAACTTTACATATTTTGTTGGTAGATTTAAGGAAAGTTATTCATGAGGTACAAAAAGAGAGATAGATCTTAAGAATTCTCTCACATTTTAAGCATTTTTTTTTTAGAGTGTGTCTTTATTTAATATGATTGTGATTTAAAATTTTTTAATTTGATTTTAAAATTTAAAAAATTTTAAAATAAAATTAAATAATTCTATAAATGAAATTCAAAATTTTGAATATTTATTTTAAAAATTTTATACTCAATAAATTAGTATTTTTAATTTTTAATTTTTAATTTTAATTATTAATTTTGATCAATTAATTTTGATCATTTGAATTTAAAAAACCAAAACTAAAAATTTATAACCACAACCATAGAGTTTTAGTTGTTAATTTGTCTATTAATTAAAGTATTTATGAAAACTCTCTTTTCAACTTTATCCCTTTTGCAATTTCAATTCACCTTGAGACATTCAATCTCAACTTCCCTTTTTAATTATAATAAAAACTTGTGACAATTAAAATGGGACAAGGGAGTAATTGGTACCTAGATTATATGCTAAGCTTTGGGTTGAGCTTTAACTCTTGACAATTTATCCAAATCTATACTAAATCATCCTTGCACTTAAGGGTGTGTCTTCAAAACATTAGAGGTCTAAAGGCAAAAGCCCCTGATTTGCCCTTCAACTTTTTGAGTATGAGGCATTTTACTCTTGATATTACAATATATAAGGTTTTACCTTTCATGTTTTTGAATTTAGGGAAACGAAGCAAAATTTAACATTGAAACATAACGTGCATCATTAGTCTTCATCATGTATTCACGTGTTAGCGCCACATCACCAACAATTTTAACTTGTGGGTTCTACTTGTTAACTTACAATAATGACATGGAAAAGAATAAAAAATTCTTTTGTGTCTTTTCTTCTCTTTCTCTTTCTCTCTCCCCTTGAAACCTAACAGCATCGAACTCAACAAGTGTGGGTTCTTTCGAATCTAGGCGCTGGTTCCTTGAACCTAGCACGCCTATTTGGAACCCTGGCATGGGTTCCTTCAAACCCAGCACATTTGTAGTTGATCATGGCTGTATTGAATATAAAGCTTTTACTGTTACTAATGGCAGTGAGCAGGTTGCTGATCACGGCGAAATTGAATCCGAAGCTTCTGTTAAGCAAGAAGGAGGAGAAGAAGCAGATGACAAGGAACGAGATGTGAAGCTCGAGAATGGAAATGGCGACGGTGATAATTTAGAAGAAAATGGAGGAAGAGGTGGAATTAGAAGTGGTGTTTACTTTGACAAACTTGAAGGTATTATTCCTCCTTTCCATCCTCAACTACTAGTTCATGTTTGAATTTCATTTTAATGTTTGATTTTCTGCTGCTGCCGCCACCAATGTCGCCACCGACAAGGAGAAATTCAACATTTAATAGTATCTCTTTCTTCATTTGAGCTCTACATAATTCATACAATGAATTTAAGTCCCAAATCTATATATAATGGCCTCGAATCTTTTTTTTTTTTTTTCAAAGAAGTATCACTAATTTTTCTTAACTAATCTTTGATGTGTTAATGTTGTTAATATGCTTTTTTCTGGTTGCAGGCATTGAATCCACCGTTGGAGTTTTTGAAATTCAGTCCAAGAGAATTCATATTGTTGGATCCACCAATAAACCCAAGCCTTGAGTTCGATGGAACTCAAGCACTGGATTCCTTTGAACCTAACATGTTTGGGTTCATTGGAACTTAGTGGCAATGTTTTTCAATTCGAATCGGAGGTCAAATCATTTTGACCTTTGGTTCACAGTTTGAACAATGTAATCGGTTTAATTAATAAAACCGTCGAGTTGATCCAAATATTATAAATATATTATTTTACAAAATATTTTATGTGATGTTCGTTTGGTACAGTGGTCGGAGGTTGATTCTTTATTTGAAAGATCACAAGTTCGAGTTCTCTTGAAAACGAACTTTAATATAATTGTGGTTTTAAAAATAAAATAAATATATTGTAAAAGAAAAAATTGCAAATAAAATGTTCATCTCAAGTGGAAGAATCTTTGCTCCATGACATGGAGAATATAGTGTTTAAATCCCATGGCTATCATCAATAATTTAGTTAAAAAGTTTGAGATTTCTATTAAATAAATAAAATTTCAAGTATCTATTGATACACTTATCACGTTATTGTGGTGGCAAAGAATCGAAATAAGAGCTTGAAGGTCATAGGTTCAAG